TTTCACTGGATTCTTGAAATTATAATTTTTACTCTGAAGAACATTTTAAACAGCCAGTTGGGAGTTTCTGACATTTAGAAAAATATTGGGATAATTGTGATATGTGAAATTTGAAACCATCTTAGAAATTGTATCCCTCATGAATATACTTGGGATACAATGTGCAAATAATTTTATTAAGTATTAAGAAGTTATAGCAAGTAGATATGAATTCATTTATTCAAATACTTGCTACCTTTTTAAGGCCAAACTGTGTGGACCATTTTACATGAAGGCTACCACTTTGTATATGTGTATCTTCTAAAAGAATAATTAATGCTACTTTCTTGCTGAAGCTCTGTAAGTCAAAAGGATAGCTGAGTAACAATTGTTCTTATGATATTCAATTCAGTATAACTCCCCCCTGTATTTTCATATTTCTAAATTTCATTTTTTTATCTCAAAACATAATTGCCTTTGTCCTTTTTGATTGTCACTGTGTTAAACTTGATTAAATACTATAACAGCATTTAAATTAAATGTATTCTTTGTTGAATTAGACTTGTTGAAATTCAGTTTATGAGAAGCTTACTATTCGCAGATGTACTTTTAAAGAAAGTAAATGGTAGGGTGATATTCTAGTGGGTTTCCAATGTTATTTTTACTGCCAAATATTTTGGACTAGATTATTGGAGTACATTTTTAAAAACTTGGATAAATGATTTGGCATGTAAAATGGCACAGAGAAATGCACATCTTTAAGAAAATTATGTTCTAGGCTCTGTTCAAACTTAAAATTAGGGTATTTACTTTATGGCAGCAGTTAAGTAATGAAGTATTATTAAAAGACATTGACAATAATGACAGATAGCCCACTTTTAGATATGTAAGTGTCCCTCTTCAAATTAAAAAACTCCTTTAAAATCATTAGCCTTGACTTACAAGTAGTTTAAGTGCTTCTCTCTCAGGAGGAGCCAGATCTGTCTCTTTTTCATTCTAAAGTTTTTGTAAGAGCCTTTTTTCCCCCTTCCTATGATCACTGGAAAAATAATGTTTTTAACACCTATTAATAATCAGTTTTCAGTGCTGAAAACTGATTTATATATTTTATATATACACATACATATTTGAGTAACAAATAAAACATTTTATGTATTTAAAAAATGTAAAAGTATATATTCTATTTGTATTAATGGTTGTATTAGAATATCTGTGTGGGTAATTCATATTTTTCTTTTATTGATGCGGTCTTTTTCAGTATCTGTCCAACATATTCAAAGTCCACTCTTTAAACATTCCTTCAGACTTGATTGAGGGCTCTCTGTAATTAGTAATGTATTGCCCCAAACTTAGTAGCTTAAGACAGTAAACATTTATTATTTGCCATGGTATAATTTCTCTAGATTAGAATCTGGGTGTAATTTCACTAGTCAGTCTCGCTCAGTTGTCCAAAGGAAGGCTTTCTTGTGGTTGGAGAATCAGCTGCCAAGATGCCTCACTCACCTGCCTTACAAGTTCATGGTGGCTTTCAGGAGAGGACTCAAGGCTTTGTGCCTGGATCTTGCCATGGGGTTTGAGTATTTTGAAGATGCAATGACTTGCTTTGTGCAGAGTGTGTGATCCAAGAGAGATGCTGAAGCTGCAATACCTTGTTAATGAACTAGTCTGGGAAATCACACACTCTCACTTCTAAATACCGTGTGCATTAGAAGAGAATCACTAAGTAAAGGCCGTAAAGGCCGCATTCAAGGGGAAAGGGAATACAAATGGTCCTCCAAGTCCTACCCAAGGACTGTGAACATATTTTAAAACTGCCTAATGGGCCTCCTTAATAAAATCCATACTCCTTCCTAGGTATCTTATCTTCTACTTTGCTTTTAAGTACTAACTTATAATCCTCAAATTTATAAAACCTCTTTTCTGAGTCACTGACCTGTATTTAACTTATGTCCAGATTTTGTTTATGGCACTACCATCCAACCATTTGTTGGTTAGGCAAAAAACCTAGTAGTCATCCTTGTCCCCTTCTCTTTTATCCCAATATTCAATCATCAAATGATATAATTTTTGTTTATAAACAGATCAAATATGTTCTCTACCATTATTCATCTAAAGCAACTATCTTGTCTTTACTGTTCAAAATAACCTTATAATACGCATTTTCTTATTGATGCCTTTAATCATTTCCTCTAGTAAATTCAATTTTATTTAAATATACACAATTTGGGGTAAATGAAGTGTAAAGGTAAAAATTGGAAAATAAATACAAATGTAGCCTGTTTTGCTAATGATTTTATATCATAACAAACAAACATATAATCCAAGCTACAGATTTCATTTTCTGCTAAATGCAGATTAAGCTGCAGCCCTTATTTTTTTAGTGAATCCTTCAGAATGTAGAACAGTCCCATGGATAAACCAGATTTGAACAGGGCATTGATAGCTTGATATATGTAAATGCCTGATTCGCCTGTCCTGTAACTGTTTAAGTACCTTCCCCTTAAAGCAGTGGCTGGATGGTTAGTCCATTTAGTTAAAATATTTCTTTAATAGATACATAGTGCCCTTCTCTATGTTATATATAATGTTACAACCACTTCTAGTTATGCTAACTCTCTTTAATCAACACTATTAATGTGCCGAGGGGGGGGGGGAGAGAGAAACAAAGAACATGTTGAGTGGCATACAGAATGGAAATTACTACACAGCTTGAGAACTTTAAGTGACCTGCTCAGAAGTTGTGCACGGGGTCCATGGTACAGTTCTAGTTTTTCCAAAATAAATGTGGTAAAAAGTAATGTCATTCTCAATTTTGAAATGATAGGCCTGGTTTCACATATCAAATCAATATTCTCTCTAAGTTTCAAGTGAAAATATTTACAGTAATAAAATTTCTCTTTTTTAACTTCCTTTTTTCTCTTCTCCCTTCATTTCCTTTCACATTTCATGCTTAATAAAAAAGCAACAAGAAAAGTCACATATATGTATTTAAATACATTTTGTAATGTATGTGAGTTAAACAATCAGTGCAAATTTATAGCTATCACATAAGTATCTCTAAAATTATTCTCTTGTATGAAAACCAACTTTATTAGGTTATTGGCAAACAACTTAGAATTTAACTTATATGCATTTTAAAAGAAGTCTTACTGAGTTTTTACAATTAAATATCTGACTTTCTTCCAGTAATGCACTGATTATGTTCATAGTCTTGGAGTAGGAGATTGTAAAACTTCACATGAAAATATAGATAGTTGGGTGTATAAAAATGAAATACATAAGTTCAGCAAACATCTAAAATCAACTTCAAACTAGAAAAAATTTGCCACAAATCTTTATATTTTTTTTCTACAATAAGATATTTTAAAATAGAAGTATAGATGAATTTAAGCAAGCAATTCAGAAATATGCAGGGGGAATAAACATGAAAATACTTTCATTGTACAAATAAAATAGTGAAAATGAAAATAAGGATACTATATCATTCTTTGTCTAACACTTTGAAAAAATTAAAAGAATTGGTAATATGTAGTTTTGAAGAGAGAAGTACTACTGGGTGAAAGTGCACATTTTTATTAAATGTTTTGACATTCAGTTGTTGATATTTACCATTTCTGTATTTATAGAAATATATCATTAAACATATTTTGAAAATTTTATTTTTCCAAAATATTATAGCCATGGTACACAATATCTTAATACTTTTTTGCAGTGATATGAAAAAAAAGCACTGGGATATTCCTATATGTTTATCAACATGAGCTCAATTAAGCAATGTTTTATATTTAAAAATAATGTAGCAATTTGCCATGAGGGATTCAATATAGAAATGAAAACATTTTCATCATATATTGTTAAATTAAGTAATTAAATAAATTAAGGTATGAAACAATATGTGTGGTGTGATATAATCTTAGCAAAATTTACTTGAGTAAAATTAAAAGAGTGGTGAGAGGAAACACCTAATGTCCATTTTTCCTTTGGAAATGTCTAATAGAAAAGTTATCATATTGTTCACTGGTTACCTCTTGACATGTTTGAAAAGGTTTGGGGAGGGAGCTAAAGGACAAATTTTTTTCTATACACATCTCCTTTTCTTTCTTTCTTTTTTTTTAAGCTTTTATTTATTTATTTTTGGAGAGGGAAGGGAGGGAGAGAAAGAGAGAGAGAGAGAGAGACATCAATGTGCGGTTGCTGGGGGTTCTGGCCTGCAACCCAGGAATGTACCCTGGCTGGGAATCGAACCTGGGACACTTTGGTTCTCAGCCTGCGCTCAATCCACTGAGCTACTCCAGCCAGGCCTATATCTCCTTTTCTTAAATAAAGAACATTCATTATTTCTACAATTAACTCACCAAGTATACAGATTACATTAATTATTACTTAAAACTATATAATTGTGTATAATTGTGTCTTAAAATTGAAACAGACTGTTTTATTTAAGTATGCTTATAAACACAAGAACATTGTAATTTTGGGGGGTAATGGTTTCCAAAATAAAAACAAAGAACAAAATGAACACATAATACCTGAGGCTTACCTGAGAATCTTGTGCAGCAAATTGGAAATTTCTACATAATCATTACTTAACATACCAGCCAAAATTCCAGAAAATTCACAGTGCTTTTTTTCCATGTATAAAGAAAAAAAACTGTTAACAAGGTTTTTTTTTAAGAGATAACTATTGTTAGAATAAATAATAGCTGTGAAGTTACTGAAGTGAGAGATATTCTGTCTCTCACTTCAATTAAAAATATGAATTGCAACAGCTTTCTTCCTTGGTATTGGTTTACCCCAAACACTGAGCAAGAGAACATACACACTTTTTGTTTATTAAAATTCTATCTCTCACAATTTATTATGTTTATTAAAATTCTATATCTCACTCACAATTAAAATTATGAATTGCAACAGCTTTCTTCTTTAGTATTGGCTTACCCCAAACACTGGGTAACCAAACATAGACACTTTTCTTCTTTGTAATAAAGAGGACTTACTTTCCTTTCTCCTCCTTCCCATAGCTTTCAGCCGCGCCCCAATACCGATGGCTGTGGTCCGAAGAGAGCTCTCCTGTGAGAGCTACCCCATAGAGCTGCGCTGCCCAGGAACAGATGTCATCATGATTGAAAGTGCCAACTATGGGAGGACTGATGACAAAATCTGTGACTCTGACCCTGCTCAGATGGAGAATATACGATGCTATCTGCCTGATGCCTATAAGATTATGTCTCAAAGGTATGATATTTCTAATATTCTTTTTAAAATTTATTTGCATTGTATTTTTCTATTATCATTTATCCCCCTTATACACTCTTCCACCTCCACCCAGCCCCCCACACTCCCTGCAATCACCACAGTGTTTCCCATGTCCATGAGTTCTTTTTCCTTTAGGTGCAATCCCTCTGCATTCTAACCCCATCCCAGGGCTGTCAGCCTGCTCTCTATCCATGAGTCTGTCTCTATTTTGCTTGTTTGTCAGTGTTTATTAGATTCGACAGATGAGTGAAATCATATAGTGTTTTTCTTTCTCTGACTGGCTTATTTTATTTAGCATAATGTTCTCCTGGTTTATCCATGCTGTTGCAAATGGTAAAATTTTCTTCTCTTTTTACAGCTGAGTAGTATTTTATTGTGTAAATGTACCAAATTGTTTATCCACTCATTTACTGGTGGACACTTAGACTGTTTCCAAATCTTGGCGATTATAAATAACACTGCAGTGAACATGAGGGTAGTTATATTCTTTTGAATTAGTGTTTTGGGTTTCTTTGGATCAATTCCCAGAAGTGGAATCCTTGGGTTATAAGGCAGTTCCATTTTTAATTTTTTTGAGATAAGTCCATATCACTTCCCACAGTGGCTGTACCAGTCTGCATTCCCAAAAATAGTACAGAAGGGTTCCCCTTTCTCCACATCTTTACCCACTTGTTTATTAATTTATTGATGATTTCCATTCTGACCTGTGTGAGGTGATAATGTCATTTTAATTTGAATTTATTTGGTGATTAGTGAGGTTGAGCATCTTTTCATATGTCTGTTGGCCATCTGTATGTCCTCTTTGGAGAAGTGTCTGTTCAGGTCCTCTACCCATTTTAATTTGATTGTTATTTTGGTATTGAGTTTTATAAGTTCTTCATAAATTTTAGATATTAACCCCTTATCAGATATATCATTGGTGATTATGTTCTCAAATCCTGTGAGTTGTCTTTTTCTTTTGTTGATGGTCTCCTTTGCTGGGAAAAAATGTTTTTCTTTGTTGTAGTCCTGTTTGTTCATTTTTTCTTTGTTTTATCTTACCTGAGGAGACATATCAAAAAAATGTTGCTGTGATCAAATTCTGAGATATTACTGCCTGTATTTTTTTCTAGAATTTTTATGGTTTCAATCTAATATTTAAATCTTTAATCTATTTTGAATTGATCCTTAAATACCTGTACTTGGAAAATTGTAAGACACTGAAGAAAGAAATTGAAGAAGATTTAAATAAGTGGAAGCACACAGCGTTTTCGCAGATAGGATGAATTAACATCAGTAAAATGACCATACTACCCAAAGCAATCTGTAGATTCAATGCAATTCCTATAAAGGTATCAATGTTGTATTTTACAGAACTAGAACAAATTTTTCAAAAATTTATATGGAACCACAAAAGGTTCTGGATAGCAAGAGCAATCTTGAGAAACAAGAACAAAGTTGGAGGAATAATGCTACCTGATATCAAATTATACTATAAGGCCATAGTACTCAAAACAGCATTGCAGTGGCATAAAAACAGACACATAGATCAATGGAACAGGATAGAGATCCCAGAAATAAAACTATACTATTACAGTCAATTAATACTTGACAGAGGAAGCAAGTACATACAATGGGCTAAAGATACTTTATTCAATAAATAGTGTTGAAAAAATTGAACAGATACATGCAGAAAAATGGGACTAAACCACTTTTTTATGCCACACACAAGAATAAATTCTAATATTCTTTTCTTTGTGTATTTAACACAAACTGCCAATATGTAGCTGTATGACATATTCAGCATACATAAGAACATAGCAAGTATTGTATACTTTTAGGATAAATTGAACTAGTATTTCAATATTAGATTATCTGCCATATTACTGAAATGACTATTAAAATTGCAAATGCCTTTGGGAAATTATTAAAATTCATTAGGTTATTTATTCAGTTTCATGGTCTATTGTATATTCTCTAGAACTGGGTTCATTAGATGAGAAACTAAATTTATTTTTTATGGTTACTAAAGCTGAATTTTATAATTTTCTCTAGAAGTTACAGAAAAATTACCTTAATGCTAACAATTATTTTCTACCAGCATAGGAAGAAGACAATAAAAATTAAATTAACAGGCAATTTTTATAACCGCTAATCAAAATACAGTAAAAATTTTGATTAAAGATTGGACTTGGAAACAATGAAAAAAGTTATTCTTTTAATAATTAATATAGTTAATTCATTTAATACATTTAAGCTTTCTAAAATGTTGCCATATTAAAACAGTATAAATTAAGGTGCTGTATAATATCACTGGATGAGGAAAAGAAAATCTTCAACTCTAAAGAGACTGGTCAATAGTGATAGATAATACAGAATATTTAAACTATATTAATTTTTGATAAATTTACTAAGCATTGCACTTGTATTTACTATTATTGTGACTCCTCAGAAATCAGAGAGGAAGTCATTCATCTAATATAAGCCTTCTTGCTATTCGAGCACTTGGTCACAGTGATTTTTAAATTATCAACATTTTATTTAGTGAATTTGTTTTTTTATTAGGATTTTTTAATTAGGCATTTCTTCTATTGTTTAAAGATTTCTTAAAATATGGGGAGAATCATAGCATATGTAAAAATATACAAATTGATGAATAAAAGTAAAAACAAGTCTCAAGGATTTCCTTTCTTGTGTTTAAGAAAGACCTGTCTTATTTTTAATGTTTTGTATTCTTGATATACTTAAAATTCTACATATGTTTGTATGTGATTAATAAACTGGTAGAACCAATATCTTATTTTTATAAATTGCTATTATATCAATTAATAAAAGAAATTATAACATGCCAGGGTTTTGATAATCAAAACATGTGAGATATACTTGAAGGATAGTGGTCTCTCTGGGCAAATCTGAGGGCTTTTGTTTGTCTATTTTTAAAATATTGGCTCATGCTAAGATGACTTTTTACAAGAAATAAGATCTTAAAATTGTGGATACTGTTTGATATTAGTTTGGTTTCATTTGGTTCTCCTTGCGTATCTTTCTCATTGTTAATATATTTGATATATATCAGCTGTGGTTACATTCTCTGCTGTTATGCCTAAAAGAAGTCTAATCATTTCATTTCATGTAGATACTGTAATGATCATTCAGGAGTAGTTTTCCATGAGGAGAAAGGGATGGGTACACTGTTCTGTCAGACCACCAAACTTTAGAATCCATTTGGGGTGTAGATCAAGGAGGAGTTCTGCTTTCCTGTGGTTAGGTTTTCATTTAACATGTAACAGAAGCACTAACTTCACTAGGTCTTTGATCGCAACATGATTTTCATTGAAATTGTTTTAACCTTTTCATTGATACTGTTAATGGCTCCCCAAATAAGCCCTTAATCTTATAATTAGTGTAAAAAAATCATCTGGACCTCCTGAATTACATGGGATGCAACTATAAAGTGACAAATCTGCAGAGTAAAATTGCTTTAAAGTACCCTGAGTAAATCATTTGTGGAAGCTCTCCTGGTGGTTTCTCAAGTAAGAATTGTCACTTAGCTGAAATAACTGTAGTTAATTCTCCATGGAGGCAAGTTCCTTGCTTGTATTTGGACTTGCCCAAAATAAATGCTTTTGACTCTAGGAGAGAAGAAATTGGGTTCCAAATTTTAATCCCCTAAGAGATAGAACCACCATGTCCATATTATAAGCTGCTTTAAAATGAACTTTCAGTCATGCTATTGACAAAGTGTTAAATAATGCTAACAATGACTAATTATGGTACGGACAGTTTAATGCATTTGAACTTAAATCATAGTGGCAAATATCTTTTCTAAAAGAGGTTAGGAATTGTTTTCTTTCATTTATTCTGCCTGGAAATCTGATCCTGTATCAGGTTCAAAATATTTTAAGCATGTCTCCAGATGGGAAGGTTATTAATAAAAAATTATTTGTGTATCCTTGCATAATCTTGTTAAAAGGCTTTGTAACTTATTTCATCTTCATAAATCAGACAAAAGTCACAGGCAAGGACAAACATGAAACACTTTTATAATATGCAGATGTTTGCATACACATTCAACAAATGCATACATAAAAGTGTATACTAATACATTAGTTAAAGGTAAAAAATTGGGTACTTGAATCAAAAAGTATGTGGCACTTGATTTGCACATTTTCCCCTAGGAGAAGTATGCAATGTGATACCTGCTCCACAGAAGCCAGTTTTCCACTGCCTTTCTGATTGCATCTCCTGTTCTCAAATCCAAGTGCGTCCTCTTGCCTTTCTGCCCCATAGCCTACAGATTTCCTGGGCCTTAGTGGTTGAACATGATCCCACAAGAAGACTTGTTCAGCTGCCAGAACACATGTATTTCTCCTTCTCAGAACTTCTAATCTCACTCATTATCATCTGTATTCATCTTTTTTGCATCTAAATACTTATAACTTATATTATCACATTTTAGACAGTTGCCTTGTCTAAAGTAAACTGTAGGCTTCTAGAGGCCAGGCATTCTGTTCATCTTATCTAAAATAACTTTTGATGTGTAATGGTGTATAAATGAATGAAAAAATATACTCTCCAATGTTTTCACTTAAAAACTCTCTTAACTCTATTAACTGAGTGATTTTTATTTCTTTTTATTTTATGTTTACACACCTCAGAAGGTTTAAAAAATAGCTCACATAACATTGCAATCTAAAGGTGAACATGGCTGTTGGCAACTGGTAACTGCAGAAATTTTGCACTATGAATTAAACTGAGGTTTTCATGTTTTCCTCAGGTATTAATAGAAATATTTCCATTTTTAACTTCACCAACACTTGAGAGTCAATAATAATGTAGTGTACCATGGCAGTTACTCTGGAGTTTGGTGAATAAATAAGTCAGACATTGTTCCTGCCTCTAAAACTATTGTTTTCTGGAGCAGATAAATAACAAACTATATCATTAGCCCACTATTTTATTTTATCTCATTTACATTTATTGAAGGGTTAAAAAAAAGA